CTTGTGTCCCATGCTGCATACCCGCAATCATGACATCTCGATGTCCATACAAGTGGTCTTGCATTCCAGACTTTACCATACCAGCTTCAAAAATCCTTGGCTTCCGTTTTCAAAACCGTTGGACTGCGTGGAAGGTCAAACTTATTGTGAAAGTGTACATCAAAACTATTTCGAGCTGACATTGTGATATGCATTGGTCTCTGAGACGACTTGGCTTTTCTCAGAACTGGATGAATTAGACTCCGTTCCACGAAGCCAGCGAATGCGAGTTTTGGCATCGGCTCGAGTTTTCAACACTTGAGCTTCATCCTGCAACCTATAGTGTCCAAGACGAAGACACTCTCTCAACACTGTGCTGTCCATGATCTTAGTTAAGGAGTCTGCCATCTGAGCACCAGTTGGAACCCATCGGACCATTACACCAGTGGCTAGGTGTTCACGAATCAATTTGGCTTGCAGTAAGGTTCGGAACTCTGAGCATGCAGGCTGTGCAGTTCTACTGATTATATCATACAAGCTTTTACAATCCGTGCTAATGATACTATCGGCAAGACTTATCTTTTTACTTATCTCATGAGTGCGCATCAGCGATTCATTCGGTTCATCATCATTGTCTTCATCTTTGATTGCAGTAAAGGCTGGTGGAAGTTTCAACAGGGCTTGTTCACCTAATTGCCATTGGCATGAGTGATCTATCAGCCATGCCCAAAAGAGACGAGCCCAGGCCAATGTGTCCACTGCTCCGGCCATTGCCATAGCCTCTGCTGAAAGTGTACTCACTGCTACCTTCTGGATTTTGCGAGATGACCACAAAATCGGATTGACTGGGCTACTCTGATTTTCTCCGATACACTTATGGGCAGTCATCAAAAGCATACCTTGATGGGAGGAATGATTCTTACTCGAAGCAAAAGCAGCATCTGAGAAAGATACAAATCTGATTTCCTGTAAAGGTATGGGTTGTATACGAAGGGCTGTATCGGCATGTCTTTTGGCTTCCTGAAGACTACGATTTCCATCCATCAATGTTTGGACTACTGCACTGTTGATTTGACTCTGGAGAAATGAAAGTCTGCTACCCAAATCCGGTCGACTGTTTGTGGAAGCATACTGTAAACTCCCAATCAGTCCCCGCAGTTGTTGACGTTCATCTTCTGTCACTGGTTGTTGAGGATCATGACGGCATTGACTGTTAACATGAATGGGTTCAATGGCTTTTACATATTTGGTTTGATCAACTGTGATTGAATAGTCTTGATGTTGTTGAATGTGTAAACCAGTGAAGGTGAAGTCTCGATCTTTGCGACTACCAAAAGGATATCTGGCTTCCAACTGTTTCAGTTTGGCATGGAACTCAGGTGTCCCGCAGCAAAGTCCATCATCGACATGAATCCCTATCAAGCCACAGGTTTGACCTCTCTTGTCCTGCAAAGTGAAAAGACATGGATCAAAGGGTGACTGTGTAAATTGTAGTTCAATGAGTGCCTTTTGAAATTCACGAAACCATAGCAACGGTGCATCCACTCGCCCATATGCTCCTTTGAGGAGTTGTACAATCTCGTTATCAGCTAACTTCATCTTGTTGCGTAGTTCGCTTGGTGGTTCTAACCCTAGCTGTCGAGAATCATCACTCCCTCGGAGAAAGGCAGTGCGGATGTCAAAACTACCGATATCCCAGCCAGAGCTAGCAGCAAATTGAAGGATGAGCATCCGAGCAAGTTTGGACAATGTCGGGCTATCTCTGTCAAGTTCACAGAGTTGTGGGTCTTCATACCCCAAAACAATCAGTCTTGCTTTTGGAGCTTTAGTTACCTTCTCGGTGTCTCCCATATCCTTCCATGTCAATAGCCAGCGGCATCGGAGGACATTCTCCTTTGGGATCTGATGTCTACAGATCTTCTGAATTGTTCCAGTATCCAACCATGATTGGAGTTCTTTGTCTTTTGCCATGTCAAACAATTTTCGATCTTCTGCATTCAGTTCTTTCAGTTTCACCTCACTGCGTTGTTTCTTGGCAGAGGACACTAGAAATGCCACTTGTTCTTCATGTTCGGCACCATGCATCTTCGACACATCATGAGCATCAAGTTCAATCTCCATAGTCCAACACTGATCACTGGATACCTGAAGCGCTTCACAATATAAATCAGCATCATCATCATCGGGTACAGGGATTTCAATATGATCATTCTCATGTTGTAGTTGTTCTTCAAGTTCTTCAGTTGGAACGATTGAAGGACTTCCAATTGATGGTTCTGGTTCAGTTGAATCCCGTATTGAAACCTGTTGTGATCCTGATGATTGGAAAGCCCTGGGTGTCTGTGCAGGCATCTCGGCAGTGTTCTCTATCATGACAGGTCGGACGTTTGGCTGCTCTTCTTTTGGAACAGCTCCGGATTTGTCAAGTGTCACTTCCTCTACCGCTGACAAAGGTCGTACTTGTTCAGGTGCTCCACGGTACAACTTGTTTCCAAAAACGGCCCACACACATGTATCACCTTCTTGTTGGATCACTCTCATTGGCCCAATCCATTTCTTATTTTCCCTCCATAACATTATCCAGTCCCCCGGTTGATACCGTCCCCTATTTGGTCTAGTTCTCTGCAGTAGGGCTCTCCGACATGCTTGATCATTGTCCACTTTGACAAATGCTTGTCGAGCTTGTTCTCGTCGTGAGAGTTCAGCACGAAATCGAATTCCTTCAGGACTGTCCGTTCTTGCCAACTCGTGTGCTGAACCTGTTTCATCACTTACCACTGAACCTGGCTGTCGCTGTAACTTTCCAAAAACCAAAACTTCCGGGGGATAACCCCTGTGTCGGGACCATTGATTCTTTGTTTGAGTTGCATACACTAATGCTTGTTCAAGTTGATCATAACATGTTATTGGTTCCTCATGATCCATCTTGGTCAGGATGGATTGCAAGATTCCCCCATGTCGTTCACACCGGCTGTTTTGCCAATGGGCTTCTGGGGGAATAATCCTGAGCTTGGTTCCATGCTTCTGTGCAAACTCCTGAACAGTCTCATCACAGAACTCTCCGGCAGCATCTAACACTAATTGACCAGGCGGTCCAGCCCACAACATCCAGCCTAAACTGAGAGCTCTAAGGGCATCCGCGGCAGTGCGGGCGGGTGCACAATATGCACTTTGGAAGGCTGTGCCATGATCCACCATGTGATAGAAATGAAACTGTGACCCCTGAGAGTTAGTCCATGTTATCCCATCCATAGCAACTATATCCCCAAAATCGAGTGTTTCTTTTATTGCACTTGGTCTTGGAATTGTTGGCGGCTGAGACTCTTGGCATGTTGAACATCGAATTTCAGGAATGGCCTTGAGGATGCGATCTTCACAACCTAATTGTCTGCACATGTATTCCAGTTTCTGTTGGCCAGGATGACCCATGTTCCGATGCAATTTGAGGAGCCATTGCTGTTCTTCCTTTTCAAGTTCTAAAAACTTTGGTCCATGTTTTTGGCATGTCAAATCAACTACTACTCGATCCACTGGTTTCTCATCTTTGACACATGCCCCACCGGGAGTTAGTTCGGATGGAACTATCTCAACTGCTGAAGGTGATGACCGACTGCGTTTGAGTTGGTGCATTGCCTCGGACAAACTGGAATTACCATCTCCAGCTCTTTTGGTTGGAATGGCCTTTGTTTCGCTGGTTGCATCTGGATGTTCATTGTCGGCACCCTCTCTGGTCTCCGGCCAGGAGTTATATCTGGGTCTGGCAAAGATTGTGAGATTACATCGTGCAGGTGTACTTTGCCTTCGGAGTTGTCTGTAGGACAGGCGTTCCCAGTTTTCCCATTCGGGTTCCACCACAACATCTTCAAAACGTCTACGTATACAGATCATCTTACGCCAAGGAGCTTCACCAGGAATAAGGCGATTGTTGGGCCCTAGCATCCGGTCAGTTCCACGACAAACTACCACATGTCGTACTACATGGTCAGGACACAATGTTCGTACAGCTTCTAGGATGTCTCCCTGTTCCCACACTACAACTCCAACCCTCGGTGCTTTGACATCTACTGCTTTCATGACATCCAACCATTGGACATTTGGATGTAGAAGTGTGATCTGCATCGGCGAGCTTTTCTGTCCCAGGCGACGACGCTTTGTTGGGTGATCTGCCGGACCAAATTCACACTCGTCACTTGCTAGGATTTCACTGGGATGACTGTGGTTGCGTTTGATCAACACTTGACAAACCTGCCTAGCAAATTTTCTGGGATAGTGCTCGGTGAACTTGGATACTGCCATGCTTTGGTTTTGGAATTGAGTTGTACCTGCAATCTGATAGTGTTCATGAAGTCCAAGGCACCTTTGACCATCAAATGTTTGTTTCAACTCCATGGATGTAGTGCACACTTGAAGGCGTTTTCGTATTGGCATCCCTGTGACTGGCTCTTGTAATTTTCCCACCTTGCACAAATCAAACACACATGGATGAGCTACGTTGAGCAGCGGTCCAACACTTGGCAACTTAAGCATGGCTGAGCCCTCTGGTTGTTCTAAGTGAAAATGTTTCTCAAGAGACACTTGATGTTCACACAAAACCACTCCGAGTGCCACCTGCCACAAGCGTTGTCGCCGATCATCCAACACCTTCTGAAGCGATTCAAGTGACCGTGACATGTTCATGGCTGACCACCTACACCAAGGACCACATTCGGGTGAATACCATACATGTTCAGGTTGCTCAGCACACAGATATGCAAACAACTTTCGGCGGCCAGCTGTTGTTCCTGAGTCACCTGAAAACAGACCGAATCTTCTGGCTTGACCACCAAGGTTGTGGCATTGCTTTGTAAGTTCACTCTCGGGACCACACATGATTTCAAACAACTTCATTCTTTTGCCAGTGGGTCGGATGATTTGTCGTACACTTGAGAGTTCTTTGCGAATGCAGTGAATCAACCTCTGACACTCTTTTTGAAACGTGGGTACTTCTGTGGTTGACGTTGCAAACTCAAAATCCAACAATTCTACTGGAACGTCTTCACAACCTTGGACATTTGACTCAGCTGACATCAGAGTTTCTGATGCTTGCTTGATGTTTCCTACATCTCGGCCTTTGGCTGTATCAGAAGACCTTGAGTCGACAGCCGCTGAAGGTGAGAGATCACCTGTGCCAGTGCTTCTTCCATGCGGCTTTCCATCTCGCTCTGGTTGATCTGCATCTCTGTCATTTGATTGATCGGCCCTCCAGTCATTCGTTCCCAGTCTGAATCCTCCTCCTCGTCCACTGGTTTGGCCATACCCAAACTGGTTGGTTTCGCTTCCTCCTTCTTCTTGACATTCCCTTTGGTCTTGACCGTCGACGTCAGTGACTGATTGTCCTCTTGAATCATCATCTTGACATACTGGAAGTACTTTTGATGCGACGGTTTCTGACTTTCCTCGAATCTTGTCAGCATATAGCTGGTCCACTCCTTGTCTTGGAATGCCTGGGCAAAAGTCTGATTCATCTTGGCTTTGCCAAAATCGATCTTGGTCTCGGCCAAGATGGCTAGTGGGATCTTCTCGATCTCTTCGTCCTTGTTCTTGCCCATGTACGCTTGGAACTGTTTGTGCAAAGACATGGCTCTCAGTCTTGCACGATGTTGCACAGGGAGACACTTTTGAGCTCGTTACGACAGCTGTGGTATTCTGTACACTTGCATGATTGGTGAATTTTGGGTCTCTTTCTGGCCGTTGCGCACTGTGACAACGAGTGTTCTGAACCTGTTGACCTGGGACCTCGACTGCAAGACTGTGACATGGTTTCATGACCTCTTCAAACTTTGGACAGCTCTCCCTCACATTCTTTCCATTAGCGGACATGTCGTTTGAAACCTGCATGGAAAACTCATCACCTAGGCTTGTCGGTCGACTGGCCTTCGGTGTCTGTGCTTGGACTTGACAGATGGTGCTCTCTTGCGCTTCCCCCCATAAATCATTTATATTCATCATCATCAAGTTCTTTTCATTATGATATACGGGGATATATCTCTGAAGAAGCTTACTCCATAGGGTGCATTCATTGGCGTCAATCACGGCTTGGATTGTCTGCAGGAACTTGCTTGACAGGAGAAACGGTGTCTTACCGGGCACCACTGCGACACGGAACCATTGTCCATGTAATGGAAAATGAATTGCCACCTTGCTCTGCAGTGTTTGATGGTTGCCAAACCTGAAAATCAGATCTACCTCTTGGCGCTTGAGCTGACTTCTAATGCTTGGCTGCAATTGTTCCAACAATTCTTTGAGCTGATCACTACCAATTACGGACTGCGATGCACCAAGATCGACAACTCCGGTGGTTCCGGCAGAGCAAAACAAACTGTGGCATTCCGCGGATGCATCAGCCTGGCAGCTAGGCTTGACCAGGTTTGGTCGGATCTCACACGGCTGTGTTGTTGGTGTTCCCTTCCTGGGCGCGTATGAGAACATGTTGTATAGCTTCTTCTTCAGGCTATCTTGAAAGTTATACCCTTTTGCAATTCCCGTATTAATAACCCCAAAACACCACTCCAATAGGTTCCGAGAATCTGTTGGGTCATGCCATGGTTCCATGTCATCCAGCAGACTGAACGTGTCGGCATCGTCATTGGGCTCGACAACGGTGACAGCGGCTGCTTCATGATCGATGACAATGGAGGTGGGCACCACATTCTTACCATCACTATTAGACGTTTGGTTCAGTGGACACTCGGCCTTCCAATGGCCTGTGGCTTCACAGCACCTGCATGAGCTTTCTGCAATTCTCTGTGCCAGTGACTTGGATCGGAACCCTTTTCCTTTCTGTTTTCCAAAGCCCTTTTTTCCAAAAGAACCTTTGCCTTTGCTGTGGCTCCAGAAACCTCGAGAACGTGTTTTCTCCACCAGTCGTTTCCTGGCCTCTTGGTATGATGAGAAAAATGCGGACAACTCACGATCCTCCTGTACACTGTCAACTACGGCATTCTCAAACTGGACTATCAAGGCTGAGTCTTCATCATCATGCATGCTCGGGTCAATTTCATCCTCATACCATTCATCCCCATACCTTGACCAGTCATCATGTTGATCATCATGTTCTTCCGTGACAAAAGCTGTGTGATCATATGTCTTGAGCGTCTTGTCTTTCTTCCCAAACGCATATTCTTGAAAGAAAGAGGATCCTAACATGCGAACTGCTGCAGCAACTCGGGACATCTTCAATTCACCAGAATCTTCAGCCCCCGATTCTACCAGAATTCGCTTCTTGTCATCCCCAGTCAATCGGCTTCCCCTCAGAGTGATGTACGCCTGCAACTCAGCTAAGGACATCTTTTTCGCCAGGAGTTCTGACCAAGCCACATCGGCTCGGGCCAAAAACGAATCAGCTGTTTCGTCCGGCTTCTGTACACATCTAAACAGGGCCTTCTCGGCAATCTCAAAACGTTTCTCTAACTCCACCTGTCCAAAAGAACCTCCTACCAGTGACACTATCTTCTCAATCCCTTTTTGATCACCAGTGAAAATCTCGGCTTGATGAAGTTGTAGCTTTTGAAATGCAGATCCCTTTGTGTTGAGCACAATACGTGTTGCTAGCTCGACCAGTCTGTTTTCTGGCCATGCTTGCAACAACAGCTGAATTTTCTGACTCCATGTCTCTACACTATCCACTCCAGGGTCATATGAAGGCACAAGTTGTGCCAATTGCGTCTGTACACTTTCCTTTTGACCATCACCTGAAGCAGCTTCCGTTGCCCCCTCAGGCATAGTAGCTTGCCCTGCCTTGTCGGCCAGGGCTCCGCTACCAATCTCAATTGATTGGTAACGGGCCCACCTGTTGAACTCCTAGGTGTCCTCACCTAAATGACCTTGGTGACCTCACCAACTTCTATGAAATTCCCAAATGGCTGCCACGCCAAACAATCCTCAAGCGGCCACGCTTGTTTTCATGGCTCGAAGCGATCCCGCCACGTCCCACCCGCTTTGGGCCGCATTGCATGTGCACACACGGAACTTGGCAAGTTGACCAGGCAGTCTGAAGGAAAAAGGGATGAACATGTGAATGCTGGATTAACATTAAATATATACATATATATATATAATTATATATATATAAATGATATGTATATATATATATATATATCCCATGATACCATATGTTTCTTGGGGATGCGGGATGCTATAAGATACCCTTGGGTAATCTAACATGGCTGGACATTTTCCCCATTTTGATCATTTTGCCAGCGGAAAAAAAACGAAACGGTCCGGGGATCTTCCAGGGTCAAGCTGCTAGTTGCGGCTGAACTCAACTCTGTGGCTGAGAAGTCAACATTTTTTGCAGCCTGACATGAGTTGGTTTACCATGGTTTACCGCTTTGCTACTAAAGATCACCTTGACATTAATAGTATTTCAGTATTTCAGTATCCGAGATTTGTGTGGCAAAAAAATCTGAGACTTCAATGCAAAGTTCTGAACCCTAGACCCTACCCTATCTATTGGCCATGGGTGGCACATGTGATTAACCACCCACTACCATGGTCTGGCCCCATGTTTTTTGAAAGCTCCATGGAAAGAAGGTTTAATTTAAGTATTCCATAGTATTCCCTTCCCCCGCCCGTCTAATCATATAATGCTCAAATCCACCCAAATACTGTAGTTACAAACATGTTAAAGCATGTTAAAACTAGTTAAAGAAAACATTAATTGTAATTAGTACAAATGCAACATTCGTTATACAGGAGATGTCCGCGCACACCCGGACCTGGAATCTGAAAGCACCACTTGGACCAAAACCATGCAATATTAATCAACAATATCAACATACGAACGTTAATCAACATGTGCCCGCCGAAGAGGTTCCTAATAATACTGAGAAGAATCAAATTTTTTCACTAAAAAACAATTGTCCAATCATGTCCAATCTGTAGCGTCGCCCAATACAAAAAACAAAATTAAAAAGCGCTTGGCGAAGAAGTTCCCTGATAAGCGCCTTTCTGAAAAAAATTATATTCAACTAAGGTCAAGCACACTTACCAACCGAATCCAAAGCCTCCAACACATGGCCTCTTTTATTGTTGGGGTCCAAGACCACCATTTCAATCCAGTTCACTATTTAAGGTCAATAGTCAAATCGTATTAAACTTTATATTGGAATAATAAGGGGAAAACCTGAACATTGAAAACAACTGCTGGCAAATAGTTTCTATTAATTTCAGGAGGCTTACCAAAAGCATGAAGGGGTGAAAGGAAATGACCCATTAAACCAAACTTGAATTTGGATGATCTATGACCGATGATCTATATCTTGAGACCCCAATTCGATTGCAAAAGTTACTCTTGAGTTCAAATGCATCCAGATTCTATTCATAACTGCCCGTTTTGCAAAAAACACATTGTGACCGACCACTGCGTGGACCCCATTCTCAACGTATTCAACTTAACCCCATCATTTGTAGAGTGTAGTCGTAGTACGTCCCCAACAGCATATAATTACTATTAGTAGTAAATCACCATCCGCATGTTTAACAGTATCATAAAGTCTATCACCATCCGAGAAGTAGGTTCACAAGCATTTTCCCACATCTTCCTGTCATTTTGGAGAGAACTGGAAGGGGCTTCTGGAGCTGAGGTGGAGAAATTGAAGCTTTGCGAGGGCCCCTTGGATTTTTGAACCATGGCAATTTTCTGATTTTGCTCAGAGAGATTCACCTGTAAAAAATGATGCTAAAACCAGCCATTTTATGGGGATGTAATGGGATAGAATGTATGAAATAATGGGATATCTATCCAACAATCCGTTCAGGGCCCAAGTCAGTTCCTTTTGGGGATTCAACCTGAGGTTTGGTTCGTCAAGTCATGCTACCATTCCTCACCAGCAAGATATACGAAACAGCGGTGGACCAGCTCTAGCCATCAAGTGAAGGATATCCTCTATCAGTCTTAGTAGTACAGATTCGTACAGATCCACGTGCCAAGATTGCATCGTTTGCGTCGTTTGCACCCACATTCACATATATTCACATGAAACTTCATAGTTTACCCATGTTTAACCATATTTGGCTACATGCTTACCTTTACCTATATGTTTCCCTCAACATGGCCATTCCTGAAAGATGACGTCTCGACGTGTCTCGGTAAACCTCCCAGGTTTGACTTTGCCACCAAGAAAGGCGGAAATGAAACAGATGCCAAGCTGGCGGATCCCATAGCAGGTGCTGAGTCTGGTTCTTGTCAACTATCCGAATCCTCCATGGTCATTTATGAACTGAACAAAATGTGATGTGTTATGTTGATGGATCTCAAAAGATACTTCTGAAATCTTATGAACATTACGTTTTTTTTATCACAAGATGGAAACAAATGGAGAAAAGTGAATATCAGATTTGTGAAGACAAATTGACTACATCAAATATGGTTCTGTCGAAAATGGTGTATACCCTAACATGGCCAGTGTAGGGAAAATGGTCCCCTAAATTTTCAGGCAAACCCGAATATCATCAATTATCATTGGTATATCCCATTATAAACCACGAATAATCATGATATATCCTTATACTATATTCTCATGTATTCCCATACTTTCCTTGTCCGCTGGAGGAGCTGTGACCATGGCAGATGTGATGGAACTGCAGCAGCTGCTCAATGTCTCGATGGCCTCTCGGTGACTGGAAGACTGCCCCAGATAGATGAACAGATTCGAATAGCAATGGCTTACTAGAAGATTAAACCATGAAGTGCAAGTGCACATATTCATGTAATTTCCCACCAGATGGGGCAACAACAGGACTAAATGACTAAGTGTCCGAAGAATCTGGGAGCCAAGTAATGCAGCAATTGGTACATTTGGCGAAGCCAAGGACGGAAATGTGTCCTCGAAATTCAACTTCGCAGGAAGCATGAGTTTGGTTTGGTGGTTCTTTTGTTGGCTTGATCTTCTTCACATGTCCTGAAGAGTCATCATTTTTTTCCATTGTGAATCTGCTCGAATTCACCGCGGCCAAGGTGGTGGAAGGCTGGTGATGAGTTTCATGCTGCGGTGGGAATTATATGTTGTGTTCCAAGCCAAAGTTTGTGGAATGTGGTGATCCTGTCAACATTTTTCAACACCAATACTGTTGGGATCTGACATATATATATATGGATATTATAATATATGTATAATGTATATTCTGTATATACATATATATATGTATACATGTATATTGACGGTCATGAAACAGTTCCTCCATCTTTTCACCACTGTGCCAGGTCACCTGAAAGGTAGTACCAATAAGGCGGCACAGAGCAGCGCGGACAATCGCGGCAAGATTGTCCTGAGATCCTTGGTCAATGTGGGATCCACCGACCAAGGATTAGATGCTCAATTAATGGATGCTTGAAGAATACATATGTATTTAGATATATATATATATAATTATATATACATATATATATATATATATACATATTTATTTATTTATACATATATATATATACATAATCATATATATATACATAATCATATATAGATGGGTAGTATGGTGGCTAAACCTACCTAGTTAGTAACTATAGTTCTATGCCGTATGCCATTTATATATGGGACCCACGAACCGGGGACTTATGATCACCACGGTTACTAATCACTTAGCATAAGTGGGATGATCCTCCAAGAAGGACCAAGGATATGCAATAGATGGTTTTGCGATGTTTTGGCATTTCGGAGGAAGCAGTTATAGATCTTCATAACGTGGGGTTTCTTGCGTTTGTAAATGTTCATGGGCTTATCTTATTACCAGGCTGCCTTGCAACTGGTGTTGCATTAGTGATTGGTGGCCCAGATGCATATAGAGTCTCACATCAGCGCACATGCACTGGTTACATGGTATGTTTGAGCCGCTCTTGTGTTTGCTTTCTAGAATAATATGAGAAAATTAGCAAAACCTGCGAAGTTGAATGGGACACCATGCTTTCCAATCCCGCAACTTCAAGGAGAGTTGGTGAAGAGGGGCATGAGACCGGAATTGTTGACAAGCCAAGGCAGGTGATATTCCGTGGCTGAAGAAGTCCCTTTGATTTGAACATGTTGGAAATCACTGGATGAGATGTGGCTTCAAAATTGCCCAGGAAGGAAAGGATTCACCACAGTATCATCACCAATAGATCTGGATTCTCCAAGAGATCAATCCAAACCGATGTGATTTGGCTTTGTCTAATAATGATCTATACTGATAGAGCTCTACACGCCTCAATTCCCCTTGGTGATCATCATGTTCCCTAGGAATTGCCACACATTGGATGCACATCCCCATTTCAGAGTAATTGAAAAAAATGGGTGTGTCGACAGTGTCTGAAACGGGGAATTTACATCCGAGGTGTGGCCATTTACATCCATTTACTCTAGGAACATGATGATAGGGTCTCAAAAACTCATCAAAACACAGTGGAGGCTTGCCGGGCACCAAAGGAGTCAACCGACACTGCGTTGCCTGGCGGAGAATGCTACCAGCAATATGTACTGCACTGTATATTCTTGATATATATATATATATATATACATATATATATATATATGTGAAGTAATATCATATTCAAAGGCTTACGCCTGGCAGCCACTGGCCAGAAAAGGTGCGTTAATGACAGCCTTGTCAAAGCTAGGAGGCTGCCAGTTGGGGCCACGTTGGGGCAGGTCGGTGCCAGGTTTTTCATGTTTCGGGCGGTGTTGGGCTCATTTTCTGCATACAGGAGTCTGGAAAAAACTGTTGGGTGTAGGTAGATATGCAGCTAACTGGGATAAATCAACTTATACTAGAGTTTAGATTTCCAAATTCCTCAGAAAATTTGGTGTCTTGTTCTTGTGCTCGTTCTCGTTCTTGTGCGCTTGAGCTTTTTCAGCCGTTTTGGAAAGATGCTTGTCTAAACAAAGAAACCCACTCTCTGTACGTACTTGGAAATTGGTTGGACTACAGCCTACAGCCATGCATTTTGATGTGTAGTGAGGGCTTCTGGTACCAGATAGCCTGCTAAAGTAATTTTTGTAGGAGGAGATCAATCACACCAATGAATGAATGTTCAAATTAGGGGAACCACTAGATGTTTGATAAAACACAATAGAGGGGGCCATCACGTCAGAGTTTTTGTTTGAACACATTGAACATATGGTAAACCCAATTCAAAAAAAACATCCTATCATCAGGTTTTCCCATAAACATGGCAATTTTGGGGTATCCAGATGTATCCAGGTATCATTTCCACAAAATTATGACCTATCATCATATGTCAAATTGAAGTGATATTTTTATGCATCCCCTATCAGTTCAGACACGGCATAATTGGAATCTGAGGTGATTGTGCGCATGGCTATCCCAGATCCTTGACACCGGGCAAAGCACCAGGGCTGAGATGATCCTGAATTCAGGGAATGTCTCGACTTCTGCGAATATCGCCAAATGCCAAAAATCCTGAGTGTAGAGTGTAGAGACAGCAAACATGCCAAATAATCTGCGGGACAAAATCTGCAAAAACTGCAGTGATGTTCCACTTAGAGCTACGAGTCGACGAGTGCGATTCCAGTGGTCAAAAGGATCCAGCTTTGGCAGGTCGATCCCTTTGCATGGGATGCCCGACAGAAAAAATGGATCCACTTTTGGAGGTGCTATTCAAGTCCCATCTATTCACCAAACCGAAGTGAGAGCTTCACCAGTAGATGTCCTTTGTTTTTTTTAGGAGTTGGGTACATCCTGGATGATGGAGACGTCTTGATTAAGACCATGACCAATGAAGATAGTTTTTCTTGGCAAAAGGTGGGATGAACCCTGAACCTTTTGCTTTAGATTACTGATGATTACTGTATGATGAGAGTTACCTGGGCTTGTCCGCAAGGGGATAACCATGACCCCCATGAGTTTCGATGATTTTCTTATACCTCTATGATATTCTATTATCCTTTATGATTATGGATGTTCTGATGTTCATATTAAACTGGCCATGAAATTGGTGTATCTGCTTCACATTGCTTCACTTTTGGGCCCCTCTCCCAATGCTTCCCCAGGTGATGGGAAGCTGATGGGAAGCGACTAGCTGAGCGAGATGGGCTGAGAAAAGGAGCCGGTATCATCCTCCATTGGCTGGCCATCTCATGGGGGATAACATGGGATACCAGATGTTATCCATTTATCCGTTATAGTTATAGTAAATCAAATGGATGATATCATGAGACCTCCATTTTTTGTTTACGTTCAGAGAACAACCTAGATGTTTGGAAGGACATTGGCCCGTGTCAGCAGGAAAACAGGGCAACACCCAGTGATTTTTCATGTGCGTGTTTAGGAAACAAGATTACAAGGATCTCTCACGGTTGTTTCTTTTTTTTGTTTCTGTTTGTGATGTGACTACTGGTGTCAATTCGTCTGCCGCTGCAACTGGAACCTTCGCCGTTGTGTTTCTGGATAAACTCGACAGATAGTTTGATATTGTTGTGGCCTATAGGTACAGATAGAAACAGATAGAAACCAGCTCTGAAGAAATGGTCTTTTTTCGTATCAAAAATCGGCCACATGGATGATTTCGTGGTGTAGCTCTGGTGTCAGATGACTCAAAACTATGCATAACTGTGCTGCATAAATACTTATCTGTTTTGATGTGAACAGGAAAGTTCCGTTGGCGCTTGATCTGTTTCGATGTCTTTTCCTGCGCAGCCATTTTTACCTTAGCGCCGTCATGTGGCCTACAGGATGATGAGTCAGATGCCAGACATTGACATCTTTTCAGCACATGTTCCTCTGTGATTCTCCGGTTTCTGGATCCTTTCAATCGCAGAAGCCCTTCAAAACGCGATGGCGCGTCAAAGGCTAGTGTCCGGTGCCGGAGAGCCTAGTGATCGAAAAAAAAAGTCATTGCCAACTTTTTTTTGGGAAGATTCACTACAAGCAAAATATGAGGAGACTTGACAAATCAGACGTTCATCCGCCTTTGGTTGATCCTTTCCGACAAATTGGGAGCAGCAAACAGTTCGCCAAAAGTTTATATTGTAGATATTGTAGATTATTTGGGATTGGCTTTATGGCCCACATTTTGGATTGTTTTCTATAACCATGATTATGTAATCAACTATTGTTTGGATTTGGGCCAGTTTGCCGGGGAGACTACAGGCATTGCTGGTATATCCCCACCAGCCATGTTTTCTTGACCATTTTTCCCAACAAAAATCAGTGAATGGAAAAACTTCAAGGCCCACTGGTCGATCACTGAGGTGGTTCTCGGCTTGGTGGGTGCAACATGCATCATGTGCTAAGCCTCAGTGGTAGTGACGGCTGGGTGCGGACATGTGCGGACACAGGACCATCAGCGTGATAAACCGTCCTCAATCACCATTAATTAATCAACGAAAGGTTGTCATCTCATCGACGGATCACAGGAAGCCCCCATTCTGGAAGGGATTCATGGGATACACGGGTTGAGATTTTGGGAGAATGATATCCCCCGGATGATTGTGGGATACAACTTTGTGATGAATAAATGTTTGTTCGGAGTGTAGAATTATCCCCATATGGAGTGGCTCCAATGATACAACATGATACAACCATTTGACTGGTACTCGGACCTCTCATAAAAGCTGCGGGACCAAGTGGGTTTGAGAGGGCAAAAGTGAGGTTTGAGACTCCAAGTCTTCAAATATAAATAGTCATCCCATTCCCCCCAATATCAAAATATATCAAACACCCCCAAGAAAGGATGGTTTTTTTCTAGGGGATTTACACACATTTGGGACCATGCAATGGGATGGGGTGTTTTTTTTTTGTAATGGGGGATGGGATTACAACGTTTTAGTTTCCGAAGAAAGGATGGACACTCAACTCGAAAACTCTCTTGACTTGGCATCCTGATGAAAATCCCTGCCTACACTCAGTTTTCGTTCAAGTCTTGCATTTGTTTTTTGTCAACATTGAGGCTTTGCTAAAGGCTGCGAAACATGGACCTTGGATACTGATGTTAAGGCCGAGTCCCATAAGTTGATTCTTTTAGATCTAGAATATTCCCTCAATGAGATCGTGGTCCACTTTGCATTTTTGCAGCTTTGCTTGAGAGCTCCAGTACCTAAAATGGCAATGGAACATTGATAGACATAGCGGAAAATCATCACAATCTAATTTGCCATTCAGAAATCAAATCTGTCTGGATCCATCATCTCCACATGTCCAATTCATACCAATCAAAGTTGACGCTTGTTGAGGTTTGTAAGGTCCCCCAACTATAGATGATTTTCATTTAGGTTCCATTTAAAAGCACGGTTGTCACAGTTGTAGTTCGCAGATGTCTAACAGCGATGTTTGATGACTGCGCCCAGGTCCTTGGGGACGCTCTTCGTGGGACCGCGCCCAGCAGGTGGTGTTTTCTGGGGATGAACATGCTGAAGCATTTTGACCCTAAACCAGCTATACATAATTGATATACATATACTGTATATATAATCATATATATATATATATCAATATATATATATATACATATAATATACATATATATATATAGCTATATATTATATATATATAGCTATATGTGGCTATACCATCTTACATACATTTTGTATCGTTGTTGCTTGGTTCAGATTTTTTCACATTTCGTTGAATCCACTGGATCCATTCCGGTGCCAGGTTCTAGCTCCAAGGTGATTCGATACAACGTGGGGTGTCTGGGCCATGTCTGGCTCCTGTTTGGCTTTGTGTTGTTGATGTTTTGGTATATACCCTATGGTAAATAAACATAGACCCTGAAAATCACCAATGTTTAATGGAAACTAGTCTTCCAACCCCTATCTGCCAGGGTCTATGTTTATTTACCAGAGGGTAACACATGTAAGTTCAGTAAGGTCAAGTAGATTAAAGTAACTAAAGCAACGCACATATAATGCAATTCAATTTGTTGTATGAATGTCTTGTATAAATATATTATATATAGAAATAACATGATCTATCGGGATTTGAAACCAGCTACAGTATATGTTCAATACATTTTTAAGTGCCTCATTGCCATTTTCCAATCGTGGGATTTTTTGAATCGTCGGGAAATCATCGATACCTCGCCGTGTCACCGGTGTCACGGCAAAGAAAAGCCAAGCTGCTTTGGAATCTACTGAGTATGAATTATCCAGAGCAGGACTAATACTGGGACTAAGAATGGGACTATTCCTGAAATCCACGATTAATTAAAATAAATGGCTACTGAATCGTTTTAAGGCCCAGGGAACTTTTCGCAGGCTTGTTGTTTTTGAAGTGCTTGTGAAGGATTCGTGAATTTCTGTGGACTTTGGACATTTGTGGGCAAGAGAGTCGAGTGTATAGATCAAAAAATTGCTTCACGCCAAATGCCCAGATCTTATTGAGATGTATGCAATGTTTGGTCATTTTGGGGTACAAACAAAGGGTTTTGAGGCCATTGTTTTTTACATATCCATAGTATTCCATAGTTTTTGTAACACACACTATTGGATATTTAGACTGTTTTGTGTTGGCTGATTTACCCTCTGGTAATTTAACATAGCTATGGAAAATCACCATTTTTAATGGGAACATCCACTATAAATGGTCATTTTCAATAGCTATGTTAAATTACCAGAGGGTAAATCAGCCAATTTAATTCATGTGTGACTTGTGACCCTCCCATGGCCTATGGCCTATATGGCTCCCAGGCTGCCCACGCTTCAGCCGAGGCTCCATCCCTCGCAAATGTTTCCGGGGGGTGCTGCCACAGCTACTGCCCCACCTCCCACACCAATGAACAATGCTGCGGGTAGAAAGCCCCGTATGCCACCGATCCCTATGCCTTTCGGCCACTCGTCAGCAGAAAATATGGGTCGGAGTTGCTGTTCAAGGGAAGTGGCTCCAGAATGAAAAACAGTTCTTTTCCTGTTGTTTCTCCCAAAATCTCCCAAACATGTAGTTCGGATTTATGCAAGTGATTAGCGCAGGCCATAGGCCCCATAGTTCAACGGTTGGCATCTCATATCTGGTGGAAGAAGTTTCCATGGTGCCTCATATTGTAGTAAATTCGTGTAAACCCAAAGAAACAATCTCAAATTGGATACCATCCATTTCTCGCAAAATTGAAGATGGTTTATCATCTTGTCACAGTATTTGAATGAACTCAAGCAAGATTGGTCCCCATTTGAGCAGTTCCAAATATCCCAGTTGATTCATGATTACTTTCTTGGGGCACCTTGAGAAGCATCATTACACTGCAGAGACAAAATTATATATATATATCAAATACTGTATATACTCGGGATTGCAGTAGTGCAGGGTTTTCAAAATCCAGTATGGGAACTGTCACGAGCACCAACAATTTCTGACATGGTTTATCTGTTGAAACATGTTTCCATCATGTTCCGAGGTGACGTCTCTGTTGACATGACGATGATGCGTCACTCAGATCGGAAGTGTGACAAATGCGATGTTACGGCGGCGGGTTGAACTTGAATTAGTCCCACGACATGGATTTTCGGCTTGGCTGGAATTCCCCTACTTAAGTATCATTGTTTATGATCCCCAATATATTGGTTAGGTTTGGTTAGTATAAACCCGTGTAATCAATCAACAAGGGGGGTTGAACCCTGCTCAACGCGGGTCAATGCGGGGCCGTATTTCTATGGGATTTTCACCCCTAAGTCGGGATGTAACCCCAATATATATATATATATAATCCTCTTATTCTAGCTGGAACTGCACCCCCATTTGGTGATGTCACGTCTGTTCTTCTTTTGGCAACCATCCTGTGGCCGGCCAGTCTTCTAACGCCAGAGTTTCTCTGACCGGTTTAGCTACTGCCATCTGCCTACCAGGTTGATACCTGACAGATTGACACCGAAGTAAGTCTGCCTCCAATCAATCGGCGTGGTTTACTGTGCTGCACTATGCTGTACGATATAATATACTGTACTTGGAAAGTGTTTCTGGTATAGAAATCTTCCACCTTTGGTAGGGCCTCAGCAGGTCCTCAGCAGGTTCTCAGCATCCGCTTTACGAAAAACTGAGGTTTTAGCCACTTCGTGCCGAGGCTTTATAACTTCTGCCGTGGTTTGGGCATGACAAAAGGCCAGGGCAGTCGGGGGCGAAGGGTGGGACTGGGCCGAAATTGATGATCCATTTGTTCCTGCGTTGAAAGCACTCGCCAGTATAGAAAGATTGCTGGAACGATGACATTTCTTGACGTGCTGCTTGTTTCAGTCTGCCGAAGTGCAATGGGTGGGAGGTCAGGAAGCCTTCGGCAACCGGCAACTGAGAGAGGAATATGCCATGATATGCCAATATGCCATGGTATCCCTTCAAAGGGCTGTGAACAGTTCTGGTGCATTTCTTTACAAACTAAAGTCGAACAACAAGGGGCAGAAACCATTCATGCGCAGGTTTCCTAACTCATGGGAGGTACCTGTAAAACATCCATGAAGAAATAAGATGTTCCATGAAATAAACCATCCAGCTATTGGGGATCCCCCATTTATGGAAACCCCGTCAGGACGGATCATGCCCTCCATTGGCTTCTGCCTGAATCCCAGTGCTGACAGCTGGTCATTGGGCGCATGGAAATTTGTTTTTGGGGCAATTTGGAAGCTACTATGAAACCCCATAAATATGTGAGTCCGGAAGATTGTTTTATAATGAATGTTCTATAATTATGTTACATATAATGATATATTATATATATACACATATTGGGCTTAACTTGTTCGTTCGTTCTCAGGGGATGTGGTCTTCCGCTGAGGTGCGGATGAGAACCAAGGCTTTCCGATCATTACCATCACCAAGCATTTCGGTGCAGACCTGAGGTCTACAGATTTCCTGGATGTGTTTGTTGGTGAAATCCTCAATCCTGTTGGTGGAAAACTCCCCCTGTGGTAACTGTTAGATCCACTCGGACTCCATAAATTTCCCATGGAATTCGGAGATGGGGATGGGTCAAAACCCTGGTACCGTGCCGTGAACCCCAAAATAGCTGGGTTAAAATGGATGTTCATCCCACTAAAAATGGTATTACTATAGGTATTGACCCATACCCAGATGAATTTCCCATGGAATTCCCATGGAATTCCATGAATTCTGCAGGTGAATTTACCATGACTTTGGGATGGATCCCCGGCCGTGTCCATGTCAGGTGCTTACCCCTTCACCCACGGCTACATAGGCGGTGCTGATCATCCCGAAGATGGTTCGAATGGGAATCAGGGAAGTTAGTTACCCTCTGGTAGTCATGGCAATGGACAATCTATAATAATTAGCCATAATTATAGTAATAATCTATATAGATTATAGACAATCATGGTAGATTATAATAATCTATCATCTATAATCTATATAGTTTTTATAATCCATTATATAATACCCTATTAAATATCACGTTTGATTACCAGAGGGTATATGAAATCAGAATGTAGACAAACATTGCAAACCAGAACCAAGTATTACGCTGTGTTTGCAATATTTTTCTTAGGCGTGTCCGAACATATGATATATAATATAATATATATATATGGATATATATGGTATACTCCCAAAATAGCATGAAGAAAAGCACTGTTGAAAGGAACATGACATCTTACACCGTTTTGGGTTTTTGGGGTCCCATGGGTCCCCTATTTCAGTCAAACGCCATTTATCAGGTGGGATCATGGCTCTGGATCGTCATGGCCCACACTCACATCACGGAGATGATGTCCGGCACTTGATGAATGAACCCTTTTATATAATCCCTCCACCCTCAATAGGAGATAAAACCCCGAAACTCAATCATTGGATATTATATTTATGTTTGGGCATATTTGGAGAACGGGGGTTAATTAAAATATATTATATATATTATAGTATAATATATTGTATATTGATATGTTTCTTTCAATCCTTTGAACCGGGATGATGGGATGTTTCCAATAAACTTTCTTGGGATGGGTTGGACAACTACTTCTGGAGCCGGTGAAAACTGGATCAAGAGGTCACCAACGCCATTTTTCTCGAATGCGAGTCTTGTTCCTGGTTTTTTTTTGGGTTACTTAGAGGTGTCCATGGGGGATACCCCAAAATAGATGGGTATAGATGGGTTAGAATGGAAAATCCCATTGTTAATGGATGATTTGGGGGTACCCCTATTTTAGGAAATCTCCACTTGTGATTCCCTTGTCAACCCGGGTGAAACTGATGTCCGTTGTCTCGCTCAGTTCGTGATTATTCATGCACCTCATGTCGGATATGACCCAGACAGCGAAAAGTGGGGGGCCTTGATCCGCGAGAAACGTTGAGCACGTGGCTGCAACCACAGAGGGCCACAAGACAGATTGGAGGAGTGTAGAAAGATATGATCTGATCTGAAGTTTCTTGAACGGGCTCCCAAGTTGAGATTTACAAGTGAACACTGGGCAATGCTGAACGGGGCAGCTTCAGACCATCCTTAGAATGAATTATATAGATGGCTGCATTTTTCTGCTACAATAGTCGCTACACAGTGTCCTAGTTTGATTTTTCCATCAGAATCCATCAGAGCTATCTGAAATAATCACCAGGACCCCCCTACTCTGGAAAGATCATCCCATTTCATGTCTGGTTAATGTTAAGCCTGGTTAATAAGTCCATAAACTCCGACTTTCCCATTTGCAGCTGGGTGTTAACAAACGAAAACCAGTTGCCAAGTATGGTGATTCTCCATTGAACTAGGGGTAAACCACCAAAAACATGGTCAGAAAACACCATAGATTGTCCTGAAACCAATACCGTTAAAATGGCAAAACCAGATAGATAAAACAAGTACTTACTTAGGAACGATTAGTAACCGTAGTAACCATAGATATTTCCCGTACTCTAACCAATATTGGTGGGTGTGTCTGAAAAGTGGGTATCCATGGATACCCTGAATCCATTGATCATTAATCATGATTCTCCTGTAAATCATCCCTATAAATTGGCCATGTGGTGAGGAGGGGCATATCTCATTTCAGACACACTCAAATGTGATATCCATAGTCTCATAGTACATCCTCATCCCCCCATTGTATCCCCAATGATCTCCACCGTTCTATCCCCGTTCAAGGGCTGGTTTCCTTGCCAGGTATGGCATCTATCGCCGCAGACAAATGGCTGATCCCCATCACTCCATGTCCACCTGCTGCCCCTGGGCCGGAAAGAACTTGCGAGGATGGAGCGGTGCAAATTAAGAAACTGCAGATGTGTAATTACTCAAAAACATTGGAAGCCATGCTGGAAACAGGATAGACATCAGAATTGATTTAAGCAATTTATCAATTTGAGCAACGAAAATTGTGATATTTCACGAGAATATGCAAAAAACATGTGGCTACGGGATGCCAGATGCAATGGGTCAAGACGAAACGTGTTTGGTGAAGTGTCTCCATGCCGTTCATGGATGGTTCTACCACATTTGGATGAAAATCCTGGAGATCCTGGAGAAATGTAGTCACGAGTCACGCTTGGATGATTGAAGTATAAAAACAAGGACTAACAAGATCTAACTGAATCTTTAAAAAATGGGGGTCTTTACATGTCTTTACTGTACTTTCTGGAATGGTTGTAGAGAGCAGCTGACGACATACGACACTTTCTGGAGCTTCCATGACGCGGCCAGGCTTCAAGAGCTACTTCGGTATCAAGAAATAGAATCCGGGATAATCCCTTCCACCGAATATCAAAGACCACCACATAACATCATATATATATTATATAACCCCTATAGTTTAATAAGTTTGGTATTGGATCTGTTCATTTTTGGGGCCCATATTGGTGGACATTAATATGATCGGAGGATGGGAAAGGCTTAATCAGGTGACCCGGGGTGACACCAAGGCGGAAAGGTGGCTGGTACTTTGGCACCTTACGTCAGTCACTGAGGAACGACTCAATTCCAAGCCACCAAGCCATCGGCGGCAGAGAAGAACAGGTAGGTCTTGTAGAGACCATATTCCCAGAATTCTGTAGGCATCCATTTAGTCTTGTAATATGCTGTAGATATTCTGTAGATTATATATTAATATGATTTTATATGTACAATATATATATATATATGTTATACATCATTGAACATGCCATTCAGCCGGATATGCTTAAGGCTTTCAATCGCCGTTCCAGCCATTCCGGTCGTCGATTCTCTCCCACGAGGTCGATGCGTATGAGAAAGCCCTCGGTAGGATCAGCGTGCGCGAAGCAAAAGGCGATGCCCGAGCGGAGAGGGTTCACCGTGTCCACCATTGTTGGTGAATGGAATGATATTATAGCATATTATAGTATATTATAGTAATCCAAAATTATAGTATAATATAGTAATAGCCACAGTGGATTATAGTTATAAGATAGTAATAATCCATTATAGTTATTGTAACAATAGTAATTATAGTGATTATTAACTAACCACACTTACTAATGGATTATGCCCTATTGGATGATCTACCCAATCTATTGGGGATGATAATCATCAACGGGGAATCCCTGTAAACCAATGAGTTTTTTATGGAATGACATTTCGGGATTTTGAACACTGCTCAAGTGCAGGTTTCCCAAAATGGGGGTACCCCTACATCATCCATTGAGAAATCAGATGTTCCATGAAAGAAACCATTCAGCTATTGGGCTATTTTAGGAAACCTCCATGTGGGGAATGGGTCAAATCCAAGACCTGGACACAAAGGTCCATTGATGTGTTGCTATCGATGGGGACATGTACCAACCAGCCTACTTGTAGAATCTTAGATAAAAAAAAACATGTTTTGCGCAGGGTATCGGAGACATGAATTTAAGACTGGCAAACCAAGATGGTTTTGATGATTTTAATCATATCCTAATCCTAGTATTTGCCATCCAATGGTGCTGTATGAACCCCATTTTGAACCCGTCCTTTAATCAATTGGAGCCTTCTTTCAATAGAATACCTGTGGAGTTGCTTGCCAAATCTCGGCATTGTTTCTGTCAGATGGCGTGGTCTTGCTGAACATCGGCAACTCGCTGCTTAACGAAGAAGAGGCCAGCATCGCGCAGCTCAAAGTGTGATATACCGACCAATGATTTTAGAGGCTTCCAATTTGCAGTGATTTGTATAGTGGGTGATTATAGTATTATAGTGATCCATACTTATAGTTATAATATAATCAATATATATCAATATTATAGTGATTTGTTCTTATCCCACGTTGTGCTGTGTTTTTGTTTGACTCCACTGATCTGTTGACTATTCAACCGTCATTCATTTTTGTTGCACCCAACGATGCTAGCTGTGTGATCCCAGCTGTCCTGTAGCGATGTTGTGCTGTCCCTGCCGGTCCAAGGATGACCTGGGTATTGCGAGGAACTCAGTTCAGCCTTTAATGACAAGCTTTTGGGATCTTTTGGGCGTCTAGTTGACTATAGACAGCCCCTGATCCCCGTCATAATATGTCATAGTCATAATATATCATAATCTCCATCAGAATCAGAATCATGATCATGATCATAATATATCATAATCAATAACCACAATAAGAACCGCAACCAGTAGCAATATTCATGAGACACCTCAGAATCAGAATCAATAAATATCATTAATTAGTACGTTTCATTTAACAATAATCATATATCAAATATAATATATATATATAATTACATACGTATATTATATATAATTACATACGTATTATATATATATATATACACGTCATACATATATACATATATATATATATACAGATACCATATATATATATATATTAATATATCATCTATATATCATATATCATTCTAATCATCAGCAGGAGCAGCTCTCCACAGTGGAGGCTCTCCACCCTTGGAACCCAAGGCCCTGAACTTCGATCGTCTCCTGGAACCTGTCGATCGTCTCCACCGCGGGTTCGTGAGAGCCGGAGGTTTTTTAAAGCCATCAAGTGATATGGGGAGATCACTGTACTAATAAACCATGATATAATATACTAATAATAATTGGTATAAACCATATATATATATATACATATCATCTATCATAATAAATACTAGTGATATTAGTAATCACAACATCACTATCATGATAATATCACTAATATCACAATGTGATAAACTGTACTAACAATTGGTGTAATGTGATAAACCATGATAAACCCAATGGGATCAAATATACTGTACTAATGTGATAAACATGCGGGAATCCAATTGGAATCCAATTGGCGCAGACTTTTAAATGGATCGAATCCGGACAAGATGAGCTTCAGGTTTTAAATAGAATAATCCTACTCAGTTAGGAACAGTTCGGAGGTCCCACCTCGAATTCAAGAAGTGTATTTGAATGATTCACAGATTCTCAAAGCAGTTTCCTCTAAGCGCAACAAGTTGAACACCCTGGTGTTCCGACCTAGCCTTTGGTCCTGAAGAGCATGGCAATGGAGAATCTGCATAATTAGGCAACAGGAACATAATCTATAAATGAATCAATCATGGAGTTCTCCATTGCCATGTATTGCCATGTTGGATCACCAGAGGGTGCCAGCCATTGTAATCAAGACGTTTGTTTTTTTTTTTCCCCAGCCTATGTTTGTTAGATGGATTTCCCGATGTTTATTGTTCTACAACAAACAACTCGATGCAATAAATCAATCTCGCCAGAAATCACTGTAACATTCAGGTTCTTCTGTACATAACCAGTTGTTTTTCTAGCTTTTCCGAAACAAAAAAACAGAACATCCAGCACTCCCAAGGAAGCTTTGGAGAACCCTTTGCTGCTGCAGAGTACCTCTGTGGTCTACATCGCTTCTAAGGAGTCGACTGATCAAATCTACAGATGGCATTGATGAACTGCTGGTGTGAATAACTGTGGAAGATAAGCCCCTTTCAGGAGGGAAACTAGCCACTACTTTTTCATATCCACTGGAAAATTCCAGCCAGCCTCGTTTCTTTACCAGGGGTTATTTTAGAGGAACCCGAAAGATCCTGAACATTCCACTCAATCCATTGACTGCTGGCTGCTGCAACAGGTTATTTTTGCATTCGACATCCAGCTAATTGGCGGATGTAGCATGATATATAGCCTTTTATAGCCTGAACTCTCCCGTTCCCAGTGCCCAGTGCCCAGCCACAGCTGCAGGAATTCACGGACTTGTACCGGTCAATCAAGACGCGCGGAAGTCACAGTAGAGGGTAGCAGGATTTGGCGGGCTGGGAGATCGCCAAAAACAGCTGAATTCGACACGCTAATTTAGTAATTAGACCCATAGCCATAGCCCATTTAGTTGTATGCAGTTTATGAAACATGCAGATTTGATCATATATATATATGCATATAATTATATATATATAGATAATATCAGTCAATATCAGTCAGTATATTTCAATATATGTTCTATATTCCAGAGATTCCATATCATATAAACATATATTTCATATATATAATATAATATAATATATTATATTATATAACTATATATAAGTCATGTGATTTCCTACCCACCAGATAGTCCTTCAGTTTTCATCTCAGGCAGCCCTCGAATGCGTCTCCCGGCGGCCAGGGCAGCCAGGCTCGGATTCCAACGGGTTCCAGGCTCAAAAGCCATGGATTTTTTTGGGAATTCATCAGACATATATATATATATAACATACTATATATATTATAATATATTATTACACACAGACCCCGAGGTTTGCCCAAGCCCAGAATAGCGTAAATTACAAGGATTTTTTGTTCACCTATACATATCATATAAATTCTCCCACGCCCGTTAAGCTTCTACATTCATTGAAGATTCTTCAATAAGGGTTAAATTTCCCACCCCCGTAAAACTTCTACATTCGTGAAGATCTTCAATAAGGGTTAAATTTCCCACCCCCGTTAAACTCTTCCATTCATTGAAGATCTTCAATAAGGGTTTAATTCTCCCACCCCCGGTTAAACTCTTCCATTCATTGAAGATCTTCAATAAGGGTTTCATTCTCCCACCCCCGTCAAACTCTTCCATTCATTGAAGATCTTCAATAAGGGTTAAATTTCCCACCCCCGTTAAACTTCTACCTTCATTGAAGATCTTCAATAATGGTTTAATTCTCCCACCCCCGTTAAACTCTTCCATTCATTGAAGATCTTTAATAAGGGTTAAATATATTGTTTATGCGGAGCATATTGGTGGTCATCATCATCATCATCATCACCATCACCATCACCATCATCATGCCCGGACACTCGTTGCGAGTCCGGGCAAATCTCAGGGTCTTGCCGGATTGTTATTATATTATTATTACATTAATTTATTGTTATATCTATATTGTTATATTTATATGTTTATGTTTATATATATTTTTATTGTTATTTTTATTCATGTTTATGTTTATATTTATATTTATATGTATATGAGTACTATATATATATGCATATAAGAGGTCTTGATCCTTACATGTATCTCACAATCATGCAAAACCTGGTGATTAAATAGGCAAACCATGGGTTTGGGCAAAGACCCAAATGCGGAATGGGAGCCATGCACGACCAAACCTGGATGGATGAACACTGCCAATCAACAGACTGATCTTTTCGATGTCATGTTCGTCCTTTTGAGCTGGATGATTTAAATATTTAATAAATGAACATATCAAATTGAATCTTTGCACATCCACAAAAAGTCGCAAAACCAACTTTATGATTTGCTGGTATCCTAAGATTTTCTTAAAATATCTTTCAATACGTAAAATTCATAAGTCAGAAATCTAAGTCCTCCATGTTTTGAAGGCCCCCTGGGCCGAAACGAATACAGGTGCTGGGCGACCTGGACGCCAGCGGCGTAGCCTGGCGATCTTTGAAGGATCCAAGCCTCAAGCAGTTGCTGAACAAGGCGCAGTCCATGGATTGAAGCCCCAAAACGATGTCACGATGTTTATGTTTCCAGGATGGTACTGAAATGGTTTGTGAACTATAGATGGTAGTTATTTCATGGTTTTCCCCTTTTTTTTCCAAGCATCCAACTTTTTGGCATCGATGAAAACAGGACTTCTTCTCCTTCAAGAAGACCGCGGACGATCTGCCCGGTGAGGCCAACCGCTTTGAGAGGCGTCCCTGGGTCACCAGTGCGTCGGGTCACCAGGGTGACCAGCTGTTGGGGTCAATGGTGGAACCAATTGAGATGTGTATAATATATGATAATATAATATAATAAATATAATATAATATTATATTATATTATATATTATATATTATATATTATATATTATATATTATATATTATATTATATTATATTATACTATACTATACTATATTATATATATATTATATAATTATGTATATGTATGAATAAATAAGTATATATATAATTAATAGCATCATAAAACATAATAAAAACTATGTGAATCTCGGACAGAATCGGCGATTTCCTTTTATGGGTGTGTCTGAACATGGCGTATACATAGCCCAAAAAGATGGCCATGATAAACCGACTTGGGGATGCCTTACTTTTTGACAAACCCATATTGAACCATTGTTATCGATGGCTAAAAATGTTGATAGTTGTTACTGCTTGCAAGAAACAATAGTATGATTGAACAGTAGAAGTGAGTTCCAGCACTGAGTATACTGGCTCCGGCTTTCAGATCCTGTGAAGGTGGAATCCAGTGGAATCCAAACCCAGCCTTAGAGGTATAGCTTACCTGTCCCACCAAGTGGGTTCGTGTGAAAGAAACTAGGGAAAAACACATAAAAGAGCATTCAATTTTCATCATGGGTTCATTGAAGGTATAGCATTCCATCCACCGACTTTTAATCATGTTTCCAATCGAATACCCCAAAATCCAATGGTTTACCACAACAATTGTCCACATCAAATGACCACAAATTCATGATACATGTTCAACTTCGGAACACCCAAATCCCATCAGCCACTTGCATGATGCGCAGAACTCTGGTGCCCCATATGCCCTTCATTCTCACACATCCCGCGGCTCCAGAGTTCACGGTCACTTAGAGCAATGATGTGGGGATGGGTCAAAGTTCAAAATACCCTGGTTGTTTATATGTGAAAGTGCAAGGTTGAATGACACGGGTTTTCACCGACAGTGAAGCCACATAATCGGTGGATCTTGTTTGAATATGCTTGAATAAACCAACTGCATCAGTGAATTTGTATATAAATTTGTATTATCCAGCATTCGAGTGTAGCTGCGGTCATGTTCAGTCATTGCAGTCCATGTACTTGACTATCGGTTGTCCCACAATTTGTTCCCTTGAATCGATCCGGTGTAGTTTTGACTGAGGCTGCTTTGATTGCTTCTCAGCTGTGATCAGATGGGCTGGTGTTCCTCAGTTCTGGCAATGGAAATCCATGGAAATCCCATGTCATCATTTTTTTGCATGGGAAAAAGGTCAAAATGTATGGGTATGTTTAAGCCATGTTCATCAAGTATTTGCCAACAGTCACATACTATGCTCACCGTTGCCGTTACCTGTGTCTTTTTTTCCCACTGACTGGTTGGTTGATTCAAATGTTAGTACCACCTCTTAAACAATTATATATAATCAAAAATGAAATATATCTATAAATGGCCGCGTCTCAAAATGCCCCGATCCATACCCATGATCCATACATCCCTAAGTGATATGATCCATACCATTGATCCATACCTAACAACTACAATTTGTACTTATACCAGGCCACATTTAGTATACCTTCACAATAGGTCTGGATCAAGCGTCTCATATCCAACTCACTCGAAGCAACGTCCGGATCACCCCAAGAGGACATCATATGCCATTCGAAGGTTGCAGAAATTCCCAGGTTTTTCAGCATGATTTGCTTCAGAAAAAATGATGGTTTTCGATGGTTTTCTGACACACCCATTCAGCATACGAAAAGATCACATGGCTTGGTCCAAACACGGGGGGATACCGGGATACTCCCATTTCATGAACCTGGGGGATTTTCAGGTGTTCCCATTTCTCCAGACACAACCATCGTTTGAGTACATGGCACAGCAGCCCGTCTAATGCTGTTGTGGTTAATCAGAATGCTTGTGCCCAGGTGGGATATGGGTCAAATTGTTTTCCCAATAATATTATTTTATAATATATTATATCACATGACATCTATGAATATGTTGAACTCAACAAGCCGTTTCAAACGACTGGCCTTCGGTCTTGTAGCTTTCTTTTTGACACATACGCCCTGCCAGATTATGCAAGCGGAGTTTGATCGTGGTGTGCATTCCATCGTGACCTCCGATGCTTACAAGACCACGGATCTGGGGAGTGGCTGATGCTGTGGCCATTCTCGATCAAGGGAAGGCCACTGAAATTAATATCAGAAATAGCATGAAATAGCTAAAGTGGGATTCAGAATTCCATAACCAGTAGAGGAAACCATTTCTAATCTGATGGGATCAGGAAACCATTTCCAATCAACACTCATCAACCACTTGATGGTTTCTATCTCGTCATCCCCAGTAGAGGATCCGAGCTACATCAGGCCGAGATGGATCAAACTTTGAAACCAGCACTGGCACAGTTTTACTCGTAGCTGTTATTCTGGTGTTAATATCCTATGTCGTTGTGTTTTGTTTGGTTATATAATTAGTCCTATGTTTAAGTCATGGTTTTCTCAGCAGCTTTTTTGTTGCTTAGAATACCATTATACAATTATTATACATATATAGATAATTGATTATGATTACTACTACTAATAATAGTAATAATAATATATAATAATAATAATGATAATATATATATATATAATAATAATAAAAATATTAATAAAAATAATAAAATAAACAAATAATAATAATAACAATAATAATATATAATATATAATAATAATAAGAATAATAATCATAATAATAATATAATATATAATATAATATATAATATATAATGTATAATGTATAATGTATAATATATAATAATAATAATCATAATAATAATAATAATAGTAATGATGATAATAATAATAATGATAATAATATATAATATATAATAATAATATAATAATAATAGTAATAATGATTAATAATAATATTAATAATATACATATATATATACATCAATCTAACGTTTATTGGTTAAATTCCTAGATTTGCTGACCACATTCCCCGGGAGGAATCGCAACTGCATGCTGATCTCTGGTCTCAACATCGACGTTGCTCCCCCGGGCAATGACTTGGAGGCCCTGGGAGCCCTGGGATTCGGTCTTCGGATGGCTTCCAGGACGGATCCTCCATGGGTCCATGATTGGTACCCCCTGGTATTTTAACTAACATAACTATGGAAAGATCCACCATGATCCAACATTTTTCATGGGAAAATTCACTCTAAATAGTGATTTTCCATAGTTATGTTAGTCATTACCAGAGGGTACCAATCATGACTCGCTACGATTCGCCGTAAACAAGCCACAGCTATGGAATCCGTGCTGATGTACCTATGATAAAATATGATAAAGGTGACGTTTAGCAATGACAATTGATCATGTGGGATTCACTCAATGCCATAAACCGTCCCCAAATGGTAGGTGTATGACTGGGTTTCCCACGGTATACATAGTTTTGATGGGAAAATTGATGAGGAACCACTGGTTTAATGGGGATTTCCCCATTGCTTTCAGACAAACCCATGTGAGCGAGAAGTTAAACAAAAAATGGTTGATTATGATTATCATTCTGTAATGGAGATATATTCGGATATATTTGGGATATGGATATGCATGATATGATAAAAGGATCTGTAACCAACAATAGGATTGTTGTTGGACCTTGTTGGTTTGTTGTTTTTAGTGGGATGTAAATGATGTAACTATAATTTCAAAGATTTGAACCATCAAACAGGAGTATATAATTATGATCCCTTGTGGTTGTTTGGTGATAGGTGGTCATACTACTACCTAAAATACGGGAGATGGTCAAACTCCACTGGGGATCCCCAGCAACCATCCAGGATCGCAAGGTGAAGCAACCAATTTCAAGGTCTGCAACTGTTCCGCTTATTTGGCGTTGCTATATAGAGCTAAATTAACTAAACAAATATATATATATATACAACATTATATAACATAAAACACAGAACTTGTTCTGTTCCATCAGGTTTCCATGAATCTCAGTCTTTATTTTTGTTTAACTAGTTCCAAACAAATAAGTAAAAGAGGTAGGAAACAATTGCATGGTGCAATCCATTCGGCGACCTCCCATTATTGTATGCGCTTTTCTCTTCGTCTCCTTGGCTGATTCAGTGGCGGTTTCAACCCCTCTTTAATATGATCTTCCCCACATTCCTTGGTTTGTGGTTCAAAGAGTTTTTTATCCCTGCCATGTTTTCGGGATGATACAACTATTTGATACCGGACCAGTTAATAAATTCTTCCAAGATTGATACAAATCATTCAATATATACCACATCCCGGGGTTTAGGATCCCAAGTGAGCGGCGTTTGTTTTTGACAGGATGTTTCGTCGCATAGCCTCCGCGAAGCCTACCTTTCAGTTAAACTAGCGCCGCGAAGACTGCATGAAGTCTGCGTAGCCTCACGTAGCCTCGCGAAGCCGCCTACGAAGTCTTGGTATATATGGTGTATAGGCCAGATACAACCCAACAAAACACTGGAGTGAAGGAGATGTTTTTTTTTGGTTGTTAAATACATAATAAATTATAGAATTCTCTATGTTGGATGATGTCGTTCAACATCGCAGGCGTTCCCGCAGACGATGTTCTTGCCTTGGGCGGTGACTCGGATGGCGATCTGCTAAAGATGGCGGTTTGAACAGAGGGTGTGTGATTTTTGAGGCCAACCGAAGGAACAAAAATGGGGATATTGGATATAATCTGATGTAATTGATAAGATATGATGTAATGGATATGACATGATGTAATGGATATAATATGATATAATGGGTATAATATGATGTAATGGACATAAGTTGATGTAATGGATATTATTTGGATGTAATAGTAGTAGATATAATATGATGTAATGGATTTAATTTGATGTATGTAATGGATTAATATGATGTAATTGATATAATATGATGTAATGGATATAGTATGTATGACGTAATGGACATAATGGATGTAATGGATGTAATGGATTTACTGGACGTAATGGATGTATATGGGAGACCTCAAACGGGCACTTGCTAAGCGTCAATGTCTTCTGGCAAACACAGCCTTGCACGTACTCGCCCGCGTCATGGTACATGATATCACCTCAACCTCACTTGCAACATATTTTGTCCAATCACGTCGGTGATGTGGTTCTGTGATTGCCATGTGGATTCGCATGCTTTTGTGTGATTCATTGTGTTTCACGTGATGTTGTATTATCAGGATAATTTTTGATGAACTTGTGGACACAAACCAGAGATTGACAGGACCCAGATTGAAGTCTAATACATCACTGGTAACAAATCAATTGGAGCACCAACCACAATGGGGGCGCGCATGGCGGGCATTTTTTGGGTGGCGCCACCAGAAGTTTTTGGCAACCGGATCCACATAGTTCAGACAGAGAAGACAATGGATACAGTAGATGATAACCTAGATTTAAAAATCATATAGACATTGTAATATCATGGTCTAAACTCAAAATCATATTGGTGTCTAGTTGGTGGTCTCAAATATTTCTTATTGTCAACCCCATTTGGGATGATGATGGATCCCCCATGTGTTGGCTATACCACCATTGCTCACCATTATATGTATATATGTATATCCCCAGTAAACACATATAATAACCCATATTATAATATATTATTATAATATATTGTCCAATATTAGATCCGTACTATCCCATGTGTTCAATATATATATATAAATACATACATATATATATATAAATACATACATAATGTATACATATATATATATATCATTATATCCCAATAACACCAGCACCTTTATCGTTTAGATCCTCATCTTAAATCATTTTATGGGATGCGAGACGTCCACGACATCCAGTGACAGGCCTATGTGCAGCTGGAAGATGGCTCCCAACGAGTTATCGAGCAAGATGCTCTGGTGTCGCTGTTACACAAGCAGCCACTGGAGAACAAGGACAGCTGCAGAAAAAATACTATCCTGTGTGAAAATTTTGTTGAATAGAACGCTTAATAGTGGTATACATATAGTGGAATACAATGGTATACTACGGTATACAATGTTTACTAGTGATTGATTATGGTTAATACATGTTAACAATGGTTAAGAATGGGTATACATACCCTATGGTACTTAAACATGGCTGGCTGGAAAAAGAACAACCAAATGGATGTTTATGGCTGGGAAAATCATCAAACTACATGGTGGGTTTTCCAAGACGCCACGTTTGACTATGGGAGGGTAGATGTTGGATATTATGGAGATTTGTCATGTGGACATAATCTTGCATGGATGGTGTTAATTTGTTGGTGGTAAAACGTGGAGATTTGATAGGGATGTATGCGCAACGTATATTTATCCAATATGGTTTGGGTTGGTCCTGCAATTCGGGATTTACCCTCATGATTATGTGGCCATTGAATGGTGGGGGAAAACTAAACATCTTGAGCACCCTATGTTTGAAGAAATCAATGTGGAGTCTTGCTGCGGTTCAGTGGGTAAACCAACGGTGAAGGAATGTGAAGGGCAGGTCAATGATGCTTCGTTGGTCATGTTTTTCTATCAAGTAGAAATTTATATTAGCTTAGTCAACTAGTGCTCTGCTGGAAGGGTAAACCAACTGGTGAAGGGTAGCTTTGAAGGCCATAAAATATCCATCAATGATGCTTATGATTCTGGGAAAACTGGTGAACAGGAGGTGATTTCTGTTCTTCACTTTTTGCCATCGTCACAGAGAAATAGACTCACCAGCTGTACATGATGGTACCAGTATGTACCAGTAACATCGAACTTGTGAAGGTTGTCAAGTCACCCCAGTTCTCGCAGGAAAAGGGATGGCGTTAGCTGAACACCCCAGCCGTTTCTCATTTGGTTGGTGGTTTCAACATGTTTCAACGTTTTATTTTGCAGCAATCTTACTAACGGGGTGATGATGCCAATCGACTTTCACATCTTGTCAGGAGACGAAAACCACCAACCAGTCATTTCATTGTGTGATATAACCAGATCACCAAGGTACATGCGGATCAAGTGTGTGTGGGTGCGTGTGTGTGTCTGAAAATTGTCTATACACCTCAAATGGTCATTTTAATAGAGATAAAGATGATTCGCCAGTGGATTTAAGGGATAATTTCACCATTACATATACCCAACAAATCAAAATCAAAAAAAATATCTCATCGTTTCACCATAATAATCCCGCTTCAAAAACTCAACATATTGGTAAATTCACTGCTCAATCCTCATTTTCCCATGATTTCCTAATGAGGTCCCACATTTTCAGACAGACGTCTACGCCTTGAATGACCATGACACGTTGATCTCCACATGACTCTGCCCATCTGAGCTGTGAGCAGCATTGTTCACTGGTTCTATGGTTGATGTCTACATAAAGTATAATGGTTTTAGATATGGGGATATTAATCAGATATATTAATGGTGATATTACCATATATGGTGATATATATATATATATTACTATATCATATAACTCTGATTTTATGAGTGACTATAGATATGGGGATATTACCATATTTGGGGGGAATAAACATTCATTAATCAGCTATTTTAGGGTACCTGGGGTGCCAGGGTTTTGACTCATAGCCATATTGATATTATAGACAATATTATGAACTATGAGTGAATAATATTGATATTCACATCTATCACTATTCACTACCTAGACATTGATATATGTATATACATATAGTTGTACTATACCTAGCTATATACCTAGCTATATAAACATTGTTATATAATATATAGTTGTTAGCCACTCACTAGTTATATAGTTATATATGTGCATAGTTGTATCAGTTTTGATTTATGGTGACAAACTGTTGCTTTCTACATTGTACCAGTCCATTTCGTTTGGGATTAGTATGACCCATTATGGGAACTATGAAAGAAAACCAGCTAGACAATCCAAAGCCTTCATCTTGGGAGGCGTTATGCCCATTTTGCTTTTGAACGTCCACAATGTGGGTAAAGAATCCATGGTGCCTGGTGCGTTTGGTTAGGGTCACCATTTCTGACGCTTCACTCATGAGTTTCTTTTCGCAACTTAGCATGTTTGAAACCATCACTTTTGTGGCAAACCAACCTTTTAGTGAAACATATGTTCAATGTCTGGCTTAAAACAACAGTTTAATATATTAATATACATGTGTATATATATATATATATTACCATCTGGTTATTTAACATAGCCATGGAAAATGTCCCATTTATAGATGGTTTACCTATTAATAGCATGGTTATTTTCCATGGCTATGTTAGTCATAACCAGAGGGTAATTGATTACGATGTGACCATCACCTTTCAGTTCGATCGATGTCTGGAAACTTGTTCGCTTTGAGGACGCCCTCGATGTGGAACGGGGCTTCGCTGCACTCTCTACCCATCAGATGAAGAGGATGGGCTTGGGTGGGAATGGTTAAACCTCCAGTAAAGCTACAAAGATCAACTGGTTAATTATCAACTATACCACTTGAGGGTTGGCAAGTGACTGGAAGATACCCAAAAAGACGGGGGATGAACTGGTCATTAAATTTTGGTGCCAAAACCAGGGATATACCATGATATACCAAGGTTTTGACTCATATTTGAATCATATATCCATATATCCATATATATATATGTGATCCCAGTAAGATTAGAAAAAAAAAACACATCCTTAAACCACGGATGTTAGGTTGACTGGCCTAAATTGTTTGAGAGGTCCATGCATCAGTGATGACCATCCGGACTGGTTAGACCATCCAGATCCATATAGAAAATTATAGAAAATCAACATTGTACTACATCTGTATGATCATATATCTGGGTAAATTATAACGACCTCACTGCGACCTCACTATAATCATAGTTAGTAAGGGGAATCATCCCAAAATGGCCTTAATTCAGGTTAGTGAAATATTTTAATTTACCCAGATATATGCTCATCTAAAAAATATATACATTCCGTCATTCCCTCCAGGATTGTCTTCCACAACACTCGTGATGACAAGATGGATGAAGTGCGGGTGGTCTGAGGGCGACCGGATGTCAGCGGCGGATCCAGGAGCGACACATGGGCCTCCGGTGAATCGAGCCATGGTAAAACATGGTAAAACCATGGTAAAACCAATAGATACACATCATCATGACATCAATAAATGTCAATTTACAGAAGGAAAAAAACATAAGAAAGAAACACCTCAACGTAGAAAAAAATGAATGTGACTCATAAATGATCTAATGTGACTTAGGCATGAATAGAAATCAGATAGAAATCAGATGAAATCAAAGAGATTCAGGAGCGGTGTCACTTTATAGAGGTTTTTTCCAGACCCATGAGGTGCATGGCATCCAAGATGCGTGGCATCCAACTTTTCCGTCTACCGCGGCAAAAAAGGGGCTGCCACGTGGCTGATTTCCCAGTGATGTCTTGGTAAACACTGGTGCCCAGTTATTATATAATATATATTATATTTACATATATATATAGATTATATAAGATTATATATATATATAATATTATATATATAGTCTGTAGTATGATCTCCAGTTGTGGCTTTCCTGATGTTTGCGGATGTTTGCTGGTTTAGTTGCCAAATGACTCAGGTGTAATCGCAGTAGAAAGGCTGTCGAAGTCGGACTGCTTGGTCTGATTGTAAGGCTGCTGCGCATTGTGCATGTTGGTTACCCTGCCACGATCAAAGTGGGAATCGGATTTGAGGCGTTGCGATGATCATTTCAGAAACCAATCGATGTGGGCGAAGATCCAAGAACCAAACAACCGGCTGAAAACCCAAGGACACGTAAGAACAGTGCCAGGACGTGCCAGCAAATAGTCCCAAGTCACAATCGCAGAGCTTACAATGAAAAGAGGTGAACGTCCCTTGCCACGATGCGGAGAATGCTAATACAAGTCATAATGGAATATAGTAATTTATTCGAGGGCAACAGAAATTATGTACATGAAACCGCAAGCGTTGGTCACTTTGGGTATTAATCATATTAAATCGTCCAGTTTTGCTGGTGCCAAAATTCTAATAGACACCCATTGCCATGTGTTTGTTATTATGCATGTATATGCGATCTTCTCAAGTTTCTCCTCCGCATGCGGCTGCTATGTATGATTGAATGGAAGTCACATGTCCTGTTGCCAGCGTGACCAATTCACAATGCCATAGATATGCGATATTTACGGATGGCGACATGCCGCGAGCCGATCGCCAGAACATCAGGGGCGTTAAGAGTCTTTGCATATTGCACACCAAAAGAAACCTTCAACACGGGATGCCCGAGTTCTTGTTTGTTGTTCTTGTTGCTGCATTTTTCCCTCTTCTTATTCTTGTTCTTATTCTTGTTGTTTTGTTATTCTTGTTCTTCTTGTTCTTCGTGTTATTATGGTGCGTTTTCTCTTCTTGTTCTGCGTGCTCTTGGTTTGCCTTTTGTTCTTCTTATTGGTCTTCTTCTTGTTCTTATGTGTGTTATTTATGTTATTATTATTGTTATCCCTCTTGTTATTTATCTTGCTCTGCTTTATGTTCTTCTTGTTCTGCTGATTCATATTATTGTTTTCTGATTATTGTTATTTGTTATTGTTCTTCTTATTTTGTTATTAATGTTGTTCTTCTACTATTTTTTTGTTGTTGTCGTTGTTGTCGTCGTTGGTGATGGTGTTCTTGGCGTTCTTGGCGTTCTTGGCGTTCTTGGTGTTCTTGGTGTTCATTGCTGTTCCTTGGTGTTCTTGGTGTTCATTGCTGTTCCATGGTGTTAGTGGTGTTCTTGGTGTTTGTGGTGGTGGTGGTGGTGGTGGCGGTGGTGGTGGTGGTGGTGGTGGTGTCATTATTGTTATTATTGTTATTACTGTTATTATTGTTGTTGTTAGTGTAGTTGTAGTTGTTGGTGAAGAGAGTTGTGTCCACCCAAACATCCAGACAACGCTTGCAGAGGGACCTCCGTGGAGAACCCCATTGCTTCTGACATGACAGAACCGATCGTTTCCAAAGGATGGATGCATAAAAGCTGCTGCCACCTCTAAGTTGCGTATGTTGCGTTGAACCAAAGGTTTACACGTTTTTCTTCTTGAATGTTTACGCAGCTCCTTTCAAGAAACAACATGTTTGCTCGAATGTGTATAGTTCGAGCACATCCACACCACATATCACCACATCCCAGCCGAAAAACTCTTCAGAAATGAAGCACAACATAGCACAACAGACTTCGGAGCTGGCTCTAAAATGCGACGCGCAGGCAACTAAGGTATCCCAAGGTTAGGTAGTCATGAGAACAATGGGATGTTGATATGTTAGATGATGGCGGTCACCAAGGAGCACACCCGCTGCGTTGAGACTTAGGTTCAACCACGTGCTGCCGGGGTGTGATCGCAAAGCGTATGCGCAGCAAGTCTCAATGCCTATAAACTATAGATTTTTATACATTATACATATACATATATATATATATACACTATCTTATAAAGGTATAATAGACATTCTCCACCTCCACACTAAATTGTCCTTTGATACATGCCAAGCCTGAGCCGTTTGTCGATGTTGTCTTGTGGTGTCAGGTTAATCTTTGCTGCTGGGGCTACTTTGTGCATTTTGTGGAGTTTGCGTCCTTTTGAAGGATGATTTGATGATTTGTTATGTTTTGTCATTTTGTTCATATTTGGTCAGCCTTGATGCATGGTATCACTGTCTGCCTGTAGAGTGACACGGACGTATGCCGACTTTTTTCGTGTGCTTCCTTGGATTGATTTCTTTCTATTCCAGCCTAGAAAGTCAAACCAAGTTGGATCATGTGGGCCAAAAGTATCCCTGTGATTACACCCAGCGCCAGAAATTGCCCTATCCAACACACTAACACTGCCTGCGGGCCCGCGTTGCAGATCCATGCATGATGCATGCTCAAACACTCAACCTGCAATATGGTGGTTTCCTAAAATTTAGGGGTACCCCCAAATCATCCATTCAAGTAGGATTTTCCCTCTATATACCT